AGGGAAGATTTAAAACTTTGAAGAGTGTGTATAAATAAAAATATGCTGAAACAGTAATCCAAGTTATAAATGAACAACACTGACTCAAGAGATAAGACAGTAACTATGAACTTTGAAATATAAGTGTCCCAGAGGCACTTCAGCTCAGATGGTTTTTATGGTTTATGTTCTGTTTTTCAGGACCAAAATCAAGAAAAAGGTAGAATAGGCTTTCCTGTTTATTCCACGAGATTACGGATACTAAAATGTTATCATAGAAAAGGATATAATAGATTGCAATTTCACCTAATAATGTAAATACAGAAATCATAAAACCTGAAAAAGGAAGTATAGAAATGTGCTTGAAAATATGAATAAGGAATATGAGTGATTTAATATTAGGCAGTATGTTAATTTATATTCATAGATGAGAAAAGAATAATACTATTTCAATGTATGAGAAAGGCATGTGATAGATTTTAATTGTTACACTTCCTACCAAGTTGTCAAAAACTAGAATAGGAAGTTTTAAAATTTATTAAGGATATCTATTAGGATCTTAGGAATATAGGAAATAAGATAGAAGTAGTCTGTTTTTGTTGAGTAATTTGGAAGTTTTAAACAATATAATTAAAAAGGAGTTATAGAAGTTTAAGGAAGGTCAAAATTATGATTGTTCTTTGTTTACCAGGTAATATGTTTCCAGAAAACTTAAAAAAATCAACTGAAAGGCTACTCTAGTATCATATAAGATAAATGCATAAAAATCAATATCTTATATTCTAGCAATAGCTTTTATTTATAGTTTCTTCCAAACCCATTTAATCTTTTGTCCTCACAAGAAATATTCAACATAATGTTTATACATGTATGTGTGTGTATACACACATATGTATACACACATACATGTATAAACATTATGTTGAATATTTGTGTTAATATTCAGTACAAATATTGAATGGAATGTAATATATAATATATACATGTGTATATATGTATATGTATGTATGTATATATATATGCGTGTGTGAAACTTCACGGAACGAAATAAAAGAGCTGGGTAAACTAAATGAGAGAATACCATAATCCTCTTTGAAAGGACTCAGTACTATGATAGTTTTAATTTATGCCCAAATTTATTAATTTACTGCCACCATGTTCAAAACCCTAAACACTTGCTATGAAAACCAAGAAGTTGATTTTAAACTTGACAGTAAAATGGGGCACCTGGTTGGCTTAGTAAAACATCCATCTCTTGATCTGGGGTTGTGAGTTCAAGCCCCAAGTTGGGTGCAGAGATTACTTAAAAAAATAAAATAAAAAATAAACTTGGACATAAGAGAATCTTAATTAAATTAATTTAATCATATCTTAGTTTAATCTTAAATAAGTCCCAAATAGGTAAAGGTCTGAACAAAGTTAAAAGTCAGTAGACTCCATTTTTTTTTTTTAATTGTTTTATTTGGAGAGGGAGAGAGAGATAGAGAAAGGGCAGAGGGAAAGGGAGAGGTAGAATCCCAAGCAGACCCCAAGCCCAGTTTGGAACCTGATGAGGGCTCGATCCCAGAACCCTGAGACCAGGACCTGAGCCAAAACTAAGAATTGGACAACTTAACTGACTGAGCCACCCAGGGGGGCTTCTCTTAAAATCAGTTTGGGGGTGAGGCTCTCTAGTCAGTACAGTGCAGAAAACATTAAAGATTAAAAGATAGGTCTATTTTAACCTTATAAGTTGCTGTATCAAAAGACAAAGACATTAAATATTTCAAATATATGTGACTTAAAGTTAGTTTACATAACATGCATCCTTTTTATACATGAAAATGGGAAAGGTTATGAGTGTTGAATTAACTAAAGAAAATATTGAATAAAAGTAAAAGTTTTTCAAAAATTTCCCCCGTTTCTAATCTGAAATGTAAATTAAAACAAGACACTGCTTTTTGTCTATCAGATTTGTACAAATTAAAAAATTTATAGGGATGCCTGGGCGGCTCAGTTGGTTAAGCTCAGGTTGTGAACCCAGGGTCCTGGGATCTAGTTCCGCATTGCACGCCTTGCTCAGTGGGGAGCCAGCTTCCCCTTCTGCCTGTTGCTCCCCTTGCTTGTGCTCTTTGACAAATAAAATCTTAAAAAAAATTTTTTTAATTAAAAATTTTTATTAGTCTGTATTGGAAAGGAGGTGGAGAAAAGGATACTCCTTTTCATTGGTGGTGTATAAATCAGTAACAGCCTTATAGAGGGCAATTTCTTAGTGTTAAATAATTCAGACCTCACGTTTCACTTTTAAGAATTTAGTCTACGTGTGCTGAAAGGTGATATGTATAAGAATTTTAACTGAAGCATTCTTAGCAATAAGAAAACAGGAAACAACTAATGTCCATGGTAGGAAAGTGATTGAATATTCAAATCTGATAAATTGGGAAAATATTAACAGCCATTAAATTGAATGTAGTCTGATCTGTTCTAAAAAATGTCCACGATATATTGATCAGTGCAAGAAGATAACTGCAAAAAATTATGTATTATTTTTGTAGAAAGAGCATGTATTTAAATACATAGAAATTTAGTCATGAAGTTTTTTTTCAAAGCTTTTATTATTTTATTTTTCATTTTTTTGAATTAGGCTCTATGCCCAGTGTGGAGCCCAATGCAATCTTGAACTCAAAACCTTGAGATGAAGACTTGAGCTGAAATCAAGAGTCGGCTGCTTAACCGACTGAGCCAGCCAGGCGCCCCAGTCATGAAATTACCAGTGGGCGCTTCTGGGAAGTGGCATTGGGGATTGAGGAATTAGACACTGACTTTTATTTGATATTCATCAGTGGGTGTTTTTTTCTTTTCACATTTTAAAATTACCAAGAGACTCTAAGTTATTTTATAGATTCAGTCCATTTTAATGACTTTAATTACCAGGGTAGTGAAGTGTCAAAGAACTATGTTAAAAAGTGAGATGATAAACTTAGGATGATGGGCTTGGTGTCAGTTTTGAATCCTAGGTATTTTTCTTATAAGCATTTGCAACGAGAAGTAAATCTGATACTGTTCCTTTCAGTTTTCATACAGTCTCGGGGTTTTAAAACTTTGAAATCAAGAACTCGACGTTTACAGTCCACCTCTGAACGATTGGCAGAGACACAGCATATAGCACCATCATTTGTGAAGGTAATTAGACATTATTTTGTTGTTCGAAAAAGCAGTCTTTTAAAAATTATTAAAATGAAAACATTCAATATCTGACTTCTTTTACTGGTTAGTTGATTTTCTGAGGGATTAATAACCTATGTAATCATTACACTTCCAACTCTCGTGAGTGTCCCAGTCATGTCTCTCCTTTGGCCTATTAGACATCTCCTTTTGTTATTTGTCCCTACACACCTACCTGTGTGTTCTCTGTGTTAATGAGTAGCATCTGCCCAAGCTAGAAACCTGGTGGTCAACTTTGATTTGTTCATCTTTTCTCTCCTCTCACATCTATTAATCACTAAGTTCCTATTGATCTAACCTCTTAAATATTTCTTAGATCTGTCTCTTTTCATCCCCAGTTCCACTGCAGAGATAGACTAACAGTTTCTTGCCTAAAGGACTCTAGTAATCGTTCATTTAGTCTCTTGCCTTTATTTTTTTTAAAGAATTTATTTGAGAGCGAGTGTATGGGAACGCATGCAGTTGGGAGGGGTAGGGGGACGAAGAGAATCTCAGGCAGACTCTGCTGAGCGTGGAGCCTGACTGAGCGTGGAGCTCAGCTGTGAGGCTTGATTTCATGACCTTGCTGTCATGACCCGAGTGGAGGTCGAGTTGGCTGGTTAACTGACTAAGCCTCTCAGGCACCCCTTAGTCTCCTGGTTACCTTTAGTCCAGCCTCCAGACTGCCACCAACCCACCATCTGTCTAAAATGTTTTAATGTAATAATTGTATTCCCCTGCTTTCTTGTCAGTTTCCTGCTGTAGCATCCATTTGGCCTCTGCCAACCATTTTTCTGTTCTCATCTTTAAATATGGACCCCCCTCTGAACCTCTGCTGCGCTTGTTTCTTGGCATTTAAAGTCCTGTCATACAAGATCGCTTGCCGTTCCCGACTGCTAAGGCCTGTTATTTCATGGCTCTGTCAGATTGTTTATGCTTTGTGTTCCCTGTGGTTTAGAAATCCTATTCTCTGTGATGCCTCTCTTGACTTCTGAGGTAGCATTTATTTTACCACCAGACCTAGAACCTCTTTTTTTTTCTTTTTAAGATCTTCTTTACTTGAGAGAGGGAATGCATGCGACCAGAGGAGGAGCAAGGTGGGGGAGGGAAAGAGAGGGGAAAGAATCTTCGGCAGACTCCTTGCTGAGCTCAGAGCCTGACGTTGGGCTTGATCCATGACTCTGAGATGATGCCCTGACCTGCAACCGAAAGTCGCATGCTTAACCGACGGAGCCACCCCCGGTGCTCCCAGACCTAGAACTTCTAACATAACATCAAAATGATTTCAAAAAATTAGTTACTTGTTTATCTCTCCCCAGTAGACTGAGGACATTCTTTCTGATCATTGGTTGTTTATCTTTACATTTTCACAATCTATACGAGTCCAAGTTTGTAAAAGGTTCTCAATAAACATTTAATAAATTAATGAGATTTTTCCTCTAGTAGAGATAAAGGAGTGTGAACAGCAAACCATTGGAACCCTGAGTCCACAGGCGACCTACTGTCTTCAGTATAGTGTTCTTACAGAGAGTTTCTTTCTTAATCGACTGATGGAAGTGTAAGTTCCAGGGTTAGTTTCCTTGCCGTTGATTAAGTAATTTATTTTTAAGTCTTAGTGTAATTCTTCTGATGTCAACAAAAACTAGAAATTCTAGAATTTTTGAAAGGATTTTTTTGTAAGTGATCATTATATTATTGGGCAGTGTTATCTCTATAGTAATGCCTTGTTTGTGTATTTAGGGGTTCCTGTTGCGGGACAGGGGATCAGATGTTGAGAGTTTGGACAAACTCATGAAAACCAAAAATATACCTGAAGCTCACCAAGATGCATTTAAAACTGGTTTTGCAGAGGGTTTTCTGAAAGCTCAAGCCCTAACGCAAAAAACCAATGGTAAGTTGATTAGACACCATCCATATTTGGGAAGAATATCTAAAAGGAAGTCATAGTCCTACCTTTAAGTGGTTACACATACTTTTTCTAACACATATGCACCTTTCCATTGGTTATATTCCGTTATATTTGTAACTTAAGCTGTGTCAAAATGGAAATACTGTTGACACTCTCCCTTTTCTCAAATGAGAACCAGAGTCAAGGACAGTAGCATGAGCACCTTCATGAGGTTTTTGATAATAGGATGCTGAAAGGAAGGCCTGGCAACTATACAAAAGAATGTCAGGTTCCAAAATGGCATTTGATGGAATATGATTCCCGTCAATAACCTAATTCTTGCTTTTCATCAAGGTGTCATTTGTCATTGTTGTTATTTGATTTAGGATTTTTTTTTCTTTTCCTCCTCCAGATTCTCTGAGACGAACTCGTCTGATTCTCTTCGTTCTGCTGCTGTTTGGCATTTATGGACTCTTAAAAAATCCATTTTTATCTGGTAAAGGTTCTTTTTATATCTTTTTTTTTAAATCTTTTAAATACTCGACTTTTTTTTCATAGTCTGCCTTAGACAGAAAAGAAGAAGCATTTCCTGTTTTGTTTTTGCTTTTTAAAGATTTTATTTATTTATTTGACAGAGAGAGAGAAAGATCACAAGTAGGCAGAGAGGCAGGCAGAGAGAGAGGGGAAAGCAGGCTCCCTGCTTAGCGGAGAGCGTGATGTGGGGCTCGATCCCAGGACCCTGAGACCATGACTTGAGCTGAAGGCAAAGGCTTATCCACTGAGCCACCCAGGCACCCCAGCATTTACTGTTCTGGTGTCTAGGCCTTTCTTTCCTAAGTCAACACTTCACAGATTGGGTCCATTTGAGGTGGTTTTTTGCATTGAGGTAGAAAAATTTTAATCTGTTATGGTTACATGCCAACTGCATTATCAGGCCACATTGTATTTACATTGCTTTGTGGGTTACAAGAAAAGTTCCTTCAGACACTGTACGAATTTCAAGTTGTATTTTGAGAAAACAATATTTTGTTAATGTTCCAAGGATTATGTTAGAGCAAAAATGTTAGCTTAGCTTCTGTTAATGGTTGGTTTTCCAGACTTCTAGAAAATTACACCTGTCCAATTATAAAATTGATAAAACATGTAGAATAATTTTATAATAGCAATACAAAGTGAAATAGTCCCCTATTTCAAAGACACACTAATAAAGTTATGAAAAATTTATATATAATACATAAATATATAAGAATTTGGAGTTCCCGGGTGGCTCAGTTGGTTAAGCATCTGTCTTCAGTTCAGGTCATGATCTCAGGGTCCTGAGATCGAAGCATCTGCACTTTCCCCCACTTGTGTGCTTTCTCTCTCCCCCTCTCAAATAAATAAAATCTTAAAAAAATATATATATATATACACACACACACACACACACACACACAGACACACACACACACAAATTTAGTATACAATTAAGAATTGCCTCATGCGATTCTCATAGTTCTCAGTTTACCAGTCTAAAATGAAGTAATAATGCCCATCCTAGGTAGTTCCTGTTGCTTTCTCAGCTATTCAGTTTTTACCTCGTGTTTTCTATGTTCTTGATGATTGGTTACCTTGAGAGAAAAAACTGATAACAATTAAAGAATAACAGTTGGTCTGGATCAGGACTTCATCCCCGAACTTGCCTGTTACCCCAGATATTTTAAGTTTATTGTGGCATCAAACCTTAGATGAAATTTTAACATCCAGGAATATTCTCTTTTTTTTTTTTTCTCTTAAGATTTTATTTATTTGAGAGGGAGTGAGTGCAAACATGGGGAGCAGCCCGCACAGGGAGAAGCAGGCTCCCCGTTGAGCAGGGAGCTGGATGTGGGGCTCAGTTTCAGGACCCTGAGGTCATGACGTGAGCCGAAGGCAGATGCTTAACCGACTGAGCCATCCAGGCGCCCCCAGAATATTCTTTTTATAGCTAGAGTCACCTTCTTTTGTCTCCTTATTTTCAAAACACAACCAGTGTAGGGACACCATGTGATTGATATTGGAGGGGTGGGGTTAGTTCTGGCTATTATTTTGTGTTTCTTAATTTCTTATATTAAACAAAAATATATATATCAAAATGTGAAGTGCATTGCCTTATAATTTTTTATAAGGTTCAAGTGGTTTGGCTATAAATTTAATTTGCATAATTTATAAAGTCCCTCTGTGTAGATCCTTAAATAAACAATGTAGTGGGCTAAAACTGTTAGTATCCAGTGTAGAATTACTATATTACGTTTGCTCTGCCAAATTGTGTATTCTTGGTATGTTAAGTGTTTTCAACAAAACTCTAGTTTTGCTTACTGATCTTTTTTTTTTTTGGCATCTAAATTTCTGTCTTACAATATTTTTGTCTTTTTCTGAGGAAATTAGAAATTGCTCTATTTACTCACTTAACATCTGTTCAGTAGGGAAGTTTAACCAAAGGGGAGAGGTTTTAAGAAAGTTTTGTAATAGTTCCCTGTAGTTGATCTGAAGTATTTTACTGTCTTTCCAAGCTTTCACTGTTATTAATGATGTCATTACTGATACATATCATCTGAGGCAAGTAATAACAGTTGCTAGAGGAGGAGGCTGCATGAAAAGTGAAATAATCTCTTTAAAGGTTTACCCTTCTTAAAAAAAAAATGCTAGTGCCAGTTTTATGCTAGGTTTAAGGCAGTGTATCTCATGGTATGCAACCTGACCAGTTGTATCAGGATAATTTAGGGTGATGGTTAAAAATGCAAACTCTCCTGGGCCTTTTTCTAAATCTACAAACCAGAAGTTCTGGGCCATGGCCTGGGAACTTGCATTTATACATTTCTCAAGTGATTTTTATGCAGAGGTGAGTTTGAGAATGGTTTAAATTTCTCTTGTTAGATATTATAGGAGAAGAGGGAAATAATTTTTCATTTTAATTGGAAGGTGTAAAGATGTCATTTTAGGGCCACCTGGGTGGCTCAGTCGTTAAGTGTCTGCCTTTAGCTATGGTCATGATCCCAGAGTCCTGGGATCGAGCCAGTATCAGATGCCCTGCTCGGCGGGAAGCCTGTTCCTCCTCTCCCATTCCCCCTGCTTGTATTCTTTCTTTCGCCATGTCTCTCTCTGTCAAATAAATAAATTAAATCTTTAAAAAAAATTAAGATGTCATTTTAATGTGAGTCATTTATTCCTTGAACATGGTCTAGAAATCTGGAAGATGTAGTTTCTTTACTTCACTATGAATTAATGTATGTAAACTTAGATATAATTTTCTGTACTTTCTTATGTCTGAATAGTAAGGTATTTTATGAAGGTATTTGTGAAACCCTCAGATATATAAACAATTACTTTTTTTCTCTTTAGTCCGCTTCCGGACAACAACGGGGCTTGACTCTGCAGTAGATCCCGTCCAGATGAAAAATGTCACCTTTGAACATGTTAAAGGAGTAAGTTAAAAAGTTTACCCTTTAGTCTTCAAATATTATCTAATTATATAAGGCCAATATTTGATTTTAAAGGTATAAAATAGAAAATATATTTATTGGTCTCTACCTCCAGTTCGAGGCACTAAAACTCTTGTAATTCCCTAAATGACAAGAGTACTAAGTGCATCTTTGCTTCTCCAGTATGGTCTTTGATGCTGATGTCTGACACAGGGCTTCTAAATCCCTAGGAATTTCATGGGTGATGGCACTGTCATTTGTACGAGGCCACTCTGCTGGGCTCCTCGGTGGGCCTGGACACTAACGAAGCCATGATTAGAACCTTGGAAGTTTTAGCTTCACTGTGTATTCTCCAGCCCTCTTTTAGGTATTGGGACAGAAGAAATAAATCTCTGCTGTCATTTCTAACAGAAACTAAACCATGATATTTTACATAAGGAAATAATAGAGTATGTTTAAATGTGATGAAGTCTTATGGGAAAAATACGGAGCGGTGTGAAGAAGATTGGGAGTTTTGAGAGAAAGATCACAGTTTTAGATGGGGATATTCAGTGTCTGACTGACTGAGAAGGTGACATTTGAGTGAAGATTTGAAGATGGTGGTGTAAACCATGCGTGTATTTTTTTTTTTTAAGATTTTATTTTTAAGTAATCTCTACACCCAACGTGGGGCTCAGACTTAACCCTGAGGTCAAGAATCACATGCTCTACTGACTGAGCCAGCCAGCTGTGCCTAAACTATGTATTTGAGCAAAGGACTCTTCTAGCCAGAGGAAGAGAGAGAGAGAGCGCAAAGATCCTGAGAATTCATGTGCCTGACTTGTTTGACCAGTCAAAAGTCCACTTTAAAGTGGAGTAGAATGAGAGCACCTACTCTTTCCACACTCTGTTTCCTATCTATGCATAAATATTTTTCACAACCTCAACTATTAGGGAATAAAGTATCAGGAGTCACTATGATAATTTTATACCAAGTAGTCCTTCCCTTCCACTGGCAATTTAAATAGCTCTGAACCCTGTCGGAATTGTGAAAAGAGAATAATTGAGGAAGAGGTTGGTGGGGTGAATATTTGAAAACTGATTAGTGCAGAGGGCCCTGCCCATTTTAAGATGCACAGTCAGCCTGCTGTCCATTGAACCTGTGCTGAGATTATGGTCCGCGAGGCATTCTTCCTTTCTCCATGCAGTGTATATACTTCAGTACTCAATAGACTACACTTCTTTTGGGATGAGTCCGGTTCTGATTATGAAGCTAAAGAAGACATATTGATGATATTAGATAGGGCTCATCCCAAAGTTGATAGGTAATCACAGAGTTTTCTGTGCTAATCTAAACAAATATTATAATTGTTACAATTTTATATTGCTATCATCGCTATAGAATGTAAATTTATATAGACCAATGTAATTTATAACATTTACCAAAATAGGTGGGTCAGTTGGTGGTACCTGTGATCAGTTTTACTGACTCTTAAAGAGCTAGTATAGGAATTTCATTTCCTTACCTAGAATTTCCGGTAATAGAGGAGTAATTTTCTATATAGTTGCCATAAAAATACTAATAAGGGCTTTTATACCTTCATTCATTGCCTTGATCCCTAAACTATATTCTTCTATATAGATTTTATATACCTCAGTTGGGAATTTTCTTGACACAAAGTTTGGGAAGAGGAAATGTAAGTTTAGTTTTTACCTTGACCAAATGTCTTAGGCCTTCTTTTAGTATATGGATATCTTTGAATATTCAAAAAACTTATTTTAATAGTTAAAGGGCCAGATATCGTTTTATATACATAATTTTTTTTCTATTTTTTGGAGGAGACCTTATTTTTTTTAAGATTTTATTTATTTATTTATTCAAGAGTGAGTGTGCGAGAGAGCACAAGCAGAGGGAGTGGCAGAGGGAGAGGGAGGATCAGGCTCCTTGCTGAGCAGAGACCCTGATGTAGGGCTTGATCCCAGGATCCTGAGATCAGACCTGAGCTGAAGGTAGCCGCTTTACTGACTGAGTCACCCAGACGCCGCCCAGATCTCTCTATAAACATAAATTTTGAAGCTTAGCTTTCACACAAAACTGTACAAATCACAAATCTGTACCTTAGTAAGTTTTGACACAGTGAACTCAGTATATTATTGGCACCCAGCTCAAGAAATAAAATATTACCAGAAACTTCCTAGTGCTTCCCTTTCTTCCTACTGCAAGCGTAGCGTTCTTCTGTCTCATAACATGTATTAATTGGCCTGTGTTTGAACTTCACATAAACATAATACATGTAGTGTATATTGCTTCTTTCATTCAACATGATGTTTATGAGATCCATCCGTGTTTTTACATGAAGTTTTACTTCATTCATCCCCATTTTATGGTATTCTTTGAGTCACAAAAGTGTGTATTCTCCATTAGGTAGACATTGACCAGCCTAAAGCGTGGTCTTGTGAATATTTTTTACGTTTCTTGGTGGAACATATGTATGTATTTCTCCTTAGGGGTGGACAGAACTTTACTTAGAAATGTTAACTTTACAAACATTAAGTTTTAATAATTTAATCAGTATCTTTCGAAGACCATTCTAAGCCTAATTAAAAAACTCATTTACTCTTTAACGATTGTATACTTCCTAGAGAAAGTCCTAGAAAATGATCTAGGAATCTAAGAGAGTCATCAGTTTAATTCTAGATTTTCATAATGCCCTTCAGCCCAGAGATGTTTCATGATTTAGTACACTTCTTGTCAGGTAGTTTCTTTTTAACCCTGACCAATGTACTTGAGTTCTTTTTTTCCCCACTGAAAACTATTCAAAGTTGTCTAATATAGTGTTGCAAATTGGCTGCAAACCTATTATTACACCAGTGTAATTTAAAATAAATACATGAAAGTACACACATAAATGTGCTTTTAATTTAAATTGATAGCTAACATTTTTAATGATGTCTGGTTTTGTTTTGTTTTCCTTCAAAAATTTAAGTCTGGAACACAAAGTCTATATTCTGTGGTAGAGCCAAGTCATGGTGGTTTCTCCTCTCTAAGGGTCTTTGCTTTCCAGTTCAGCATACTGCCACCACTATTATTTAATATCTGGTCTTCTGCACTCATCTTTGATACCGTTCTGGCTCTACATATTTGTATTTGTTACTTCTTGTTGTATGCTAACTAATTTCTGATAGGCAGCTTCTTTTTCCTTTTAAGATTTTATTTATTTGAGAGAAAGTGAGCAAAAGACAGCTAAGCTGGGAGAGGAGCAGTCCTCCCCACTGAGCAGGAGCCCGACGTGGGAGTCAGTCCTGGGATCCTGAAATCATGACCTGGGCCAAAGGCAGACGCTTAACTGAATGAGCCACCTGGGTGGCCCTGATAGGCAGCTGTCTTAATCTTAAATCAGAGTTTTTAAAGTTGAGCTAATATTCTGCATGTCATCTTTGTTGACCAAATTGGGCTTTATTCTTGCAAGAGATCTTAATTCTACGTGATTTCTGTATTGGGGGTATTAAATCTTTTTTTTTTTTAAGATATTATTTATTCGAAAGAGAGATACACAGCGAGAGAGTAAACACAAGCAGGGGGAGTGGGAGAGGGAGAAGCAGGCTTCCGGCTCGGTCCCATGTGGGGCTCGATCCCAAGATGCTGGGATCATGACCTGAGCTGAAGGCAGACGCTTAATGAACGAGCCACCCAGGCACCCCGGGATTATATCATTTAAACTTATTTTTCTACAACCATTTGCAAAACAATATCCATATACTATAGCTTAATTTTAGCTTAATTTTAATCCGTACACTAAAGCTTAATTGTAGCTTAATTATAGTCTCCATCCTTTAACATTTTAAGGAACTAAGTCATTTACGATCTAGTCGTAATTCCTTATCATGAAAATAATCTAATAGTTAATCACAAGGTAATGTTATAACTTAAACACACAGGCTCCCTTTTCATTGATATGTATTAAGCCCACATAATTTGCCCCGAAGTTTATAAACCAGATCAAAAGTTCTGGATTTGAAACTTGTGAGTCTTTCTGTTTATGTCAAATGCCGCTGACACATTTTAACTAGAGCTGTGAATATAAGTCCTTGTTAACTGGGGAAACACTATTTCTCAAAAATTTAAGAAGTTAAGAATATTTTTTTGTTGAGATATTTAAGGAGACGGTTTCATTGGCAAAAGGAGTTGGGTGAAAACCCTTTTGTGTGTGCATTTGTAAGGGAGTCTTCTAGTTAATTTCCAGTTCAATTTACTATTTTCAAAGACGAGGCCTTGATAATCTAACCATTATTTATAATCATTTGATAAATTGTGTCATTTTAGGTGGAGGAAGCTAAACAGGAATTACAAGAGGTTGTTGAATTCTTGAAAAATCCACAAAAATTTACTGTGCTTGGAGGTAAACTTCCAAAAGGTAAGGTCCCTTCCCTTTATCCATGACTTGACATTAAAAAAAAAAAACTTTTTTTAATCCATAGCTAATTTAATTTTTACCAACTTAAAAGCTTAAAGTTTAGTTCTTCATGGCTATTTTACAAATAAGTCTTCATCCTGAACATACCATTGTATAACCTGTTTTTGAGAGGAGGGGGATTTTGAATTTTATTACAATTTCAGATTTTATTTTATTTTATTTTATTTTTAAAGATTTTATTTATTTGACAGAGATCACAAGTAGGCAGCGAGGCAGGCAGAGAGAGAGAGAGTGAAGCAGGCTCCCTGCTGAGCAGAGGCCCGATGTGGGGCTCGATCCCAGGATGCTGGGACCATGACCCGAGACGAAGGCAGAGGCCTCAACCCACCGAGCCACCCAGGCACCCCATACAATTTCAGATTTTAAATTGTGAGAATAGTGCAAAGAACTCTCTGTACTCTTAACCAAACTCAGTAGTTTTTTAGGACTTTGTCTCATTTGCTCACTTTCTTAAATAAATGTATTTTTAAACTGTTTAAGAGTAAATCATAGATATCATGCTCCCTTAACCCCAAATACCTCATTATGTATCTCCTGAAGTATAAGAATATTCTATTACATAAATCCAGTATAGTTATTAAAGTCAGGAAATTTCACACGGTTCCAGAACTAATTATGAAGTTTAGTTATATTCAAATTTCTGTATTTCTCTTACTAATACCTTTTGTAGTGAGGTCCTCCCATCCCCCACCCCAAATCCAGGTTTAAGACTCAATCCAGGTTTACATGTTTAGATTTTTCTTTAATCTTTTTTTTAAAAACTATTTTAGAGAAAGAGTGAAAAGGAGAGCAGGTGGTGGGGAGGGACAGAGGGAGAGAGAGAATGAGAATCTTCAGTCAGACGGATCATGACCTGAACCAGAATCAAGAGTTGCTGCCTAACTGCCTGAGCCACCCAGGCACCCCTTGATTTTTATTCCATCTGAAAAGGTTGTTTAGCCTATTCATTTATTTACTTGTTTATTTATTTGAGAGAGAGTGAGTGAGCACACGTGCAAGTGCTGGAGCCGGTGAGGGGGAGGGCAAAGGGAGAGAATCTGAAGCAGACTGTGCCCTGAGTGTAGAGCCCCATGCAGGGATCAGTCTCACGACCCTATCATGAGGTGAGCCGAAGTCTCATGTTTAACTGATTGAGCCACCCAGGCTCCCCTCCTCACTCTGTTATCATGGGAGTGGGTGTGGATCTTTCATGACCTTAAAGCATACTAATTTGTGGAATAGTCCTGTTTGTCTTTGACGTTTTCTCTTTTAATGACTGTTGTGATTTATAAGTATTAATATATATTTAGTCTTAGTCCCATTTCTTGTAGTGTTATACTGAAGACAGCAATAGATTGCTCTTCCATTAATGAGCCGACTTTTAGAGCACGCCTAAGGTTAGCAGCTGGTTGCCAGGAGAATCAACCATGTGATAAAAGGGCCAGAACTTTCCACAAATTAGTATGTATTCTTCAGTCTTTTGGGATGAAGTCCTTAACTTAGGGTATTTGATGCTATCTCCAGGTAGGTAGCATCAGAATTGATTGGAATGTTAGGGTGCCCGACTGGCGTTGGAGAATTGTTTGTTGGTGTGAGGGAAAACCATATGCTAGAATTGGGTACAAGATTGTAATGACTTTGTGGTGTCCTTGGACTATGTGATCATGCAATACTGTAATCACTTACCTTAAACTTTGACAGTTTCCAGTGTTTTGTGGTTTCCAGTGTTTTGTGGTTAAAATTAGCAGTGTGAGGGCTGGGCAAAATGTATGAAGAGGAAAGAGAGAAACATGCTTTCAGTTGTCGAATGAGTAAGTCAGAGGAGTGAAAGGCATAGGAAATACAGTCAGTGATACTGTAATAGGGTTGTATGGTGAGAGAGGGTAGCTATACTTGTGAGCACAGCATAATGTTTAAACTTGTCAAATCGCTATGTTGTACACCTGAAACTAATGTAACTGTGTGTCAACTATACTCAGACATTTTTAATTAAAATAATAAAATCAGCCCTTGTGATGATCATCTTATTATCTCAAGGCTTTGCCTACATCCTTAATTATCTCTTCAGAATAAATTCTAGATTTACTCATTTGTTTATTCATTATTCTGGATTCTAATTCTAGAAATGGAATTGGTAAGTTAAAGGTGGCACTCATATTTAAGGTTTGTTTCTAAACCGCCCACTATCTCTACTGACAATGTTCAGCAGTGTATAAAAGTTTTGGTATGAATCTCTGAGAATTTAGGATTCATTTATTAAAATCAATACTATAACATCAGAAAGTTTAAAGTTTAAAGTCATAGAATAGGTAAACGCTTTTTTTTCTAATCACAAGGGATGTTTTATAAAATTGTGGGAAAATTCTCATTTACAAAAATACATTCTGCCATTTAAACAAGTTAAGAATGACAATAACATGGCAATACGAGGGTAGTCTTAAGGGTATTTTTCAACAACTTTCCTTTAAAAAGAGTTTTTTATGTTAAAATATAGCAATAATACAGGTTTTTTTTACCTTTTTAAATGAAAAATGAAAAGTCGTGGAGACCAGAGAAATCTGTTATTCCAACTTATGAAAAATGTACTGCTGTTAAGGAAATTTTCTAACATAGGAAAAGTTATAAAGCTGGAGACATGAACTACTTTACCTCTGCATACTTTGTTATGTGTCACCTAAGACTAAGGACATTATCCTAAAGAGAATAATTTATCCTACCAAATAAAATTAAATACTATTTCCTTAATATCTTGTACTCAGGAATTTTTTCAAATTTTCATCAGATGTCCAAATAAAATTTTCATCAGAGTTTCTTAAATACGTTTTTTATGGAAGCATCAAGTCAAGGGTTCATGTGTCACATTTGGTTGCTTAATCTTTTAATCTATGTTTATGTGAATTTTATCTTACTTGTTTAATGACAAATAAGTTTATTATGGTCCATTCTCTCATGGTAGAGGGAAATTAGTTTTGAAGAAGTTCCCGAAGTGAATCATTACCAGAGACATGTTTTGCTTTGTTTCAAAATAATAGTCATGTGCTTTCAACCTCAAAACTATGTATACATTAATTAATAACTATTTGTTTCATAGGCTCACATCAGGTTTTATTTTTATTTTTTAAGTTGAATCAGTGAATTTGTTTTCTCTTTTAGGGATACTTTTAGTTGGACCACCAGGGACAGGAAAGACTCTTCTTGCTCGAGCTGTGGCTGGAGAAGCTGATGTTCCTTTTTATTATGCTTCTGGATCAGAATTTGATGAAATGTTTGTGGGTGTGGGAGCCAGCCGTATCAGAAATCTATTTAGTATGTCTTAATTATCTTTCATACAATACAAAATTTTGTTAATTTTAGGGGAAGAGGGATTCTTACCCTTTATTTCCTATTCAATTATGACTGATAGCTGACCTTACCATTGTGGGGTTTTGGTTTTAGGTAATTTAATGTGTGACCTAAAACAAAACTGTACTTACCCCCAATAGAGAAGCTAGAAGTGTTAGGTGAGGTTGGGGCCTGTTAAAAAGCTGAGTTTTCTGTTGTTGTTGTCCTTTTTATCTTATTCATTAATTCAGTAGTACGTAATTAAGGAATAGTTAGCCTCAGATCTGATTGTGGCTTGTACAGTCAGAAGAATGACTACCCAGTTGTTTTTATTATATATCATCTTGTATGGTACAGTTTTTTTTCCTGAGGCTACTGTTCTTAAATCAGTTTTAAAAGAAAGAGATCTCATTTTATGTACTTCTCCATAATGAATGTCTTTTGTTGCCTTTGACAGTCTTATAGGTTTTTAATACTTACGTGATTTTGTTCAAAAAACATTCATTTCATTAAACTTATTTGTGTCTTTTCTCTTTTCCTAGGGGAAGCAAAAGCAAATGCTCCTTGTGTTATATTTATTGATGAATTAGATTCTGTTGGTGGGAAGCGAATTGAGTCTCCAATGCATCCATATTCAAGGCAGACTATAAATCAGCTTCTTGCTGAAATGGATGGGTAATTGAATCTTCATCTGTCTTTGGGATATGGTTATATATTTGGGAACATTCGAGAAATAGCGGGGCATCTGGCTAAGTCAGTGGAGCATGCAGCTCTTCCTCTCAGAGTTGTACATTTGAGCCCCACTTGGGGTATAGATATTACTTAAAAATAAAATCTTAAAAAAAAAAAGAGGAAAAACATGTAGGCAAGAGAGTAGTCCCTGTGCATGAAGTCAAGACAAACTGGATTCTCTGTATTATGTTCTTTACATTACTAATTGGGTGACTGAGGTATCAGCTCTTCTTAATTGGTGATCTCTGTACCTTTTTTCATTGATTGTAGCATGACAGGAAAGTGATGGTTCCTATTGAGAATACTAGTCTGGAGACGTAAAGAGTGTTTGCTGGTTCTACAGTTTGTGACTCGATTTTAGTGTTGTGGTAGATTAAAAGTTTGCATCAGGGGCTCCTGGGTGGCTCAGTGGATTAAAGTCTCTGCCTTGGGGTCAGGTCATGATCTCAGGGTCCTGGGATTGAGCCCTGCATTGGGCTCTCTGCTCAGCAGGGAGCCTGCTTCCTTGTCTCTCTCTGCCCGCCTCTCGGCCTACTTGTGATCTCTGTCAAACAAATAAATAAAATCTTAAAAAAAAAAAAAAACCTCTAAAAAAATAAAATAAAAGTTTGCATCAGTTTTTAAAATATAAAGAGCAAGAGGTGTGGTTGCTTTGAGAGAAGGACTTAAAACCTTGTATGACCTTTTGGAACCAAACGGGAAGTCTAGGAGCAAACAATTTGAATTGGTTAGCTTGAGAATAATTTTTCACAAATTAGTCAGGTTCCCTAACCTTTTCTGTCAGGTCATGTCTTCCTAAGTAGAACAAATACCGTGAAGGCATGTAATGATAGATGACTTTGTGATGTATTGTTAGCAGTTTTATTAAAGTGTACTGGCATAGTAACATTTGTTCTTTTTAAAAAATGGTAGGGATGTCTTATCACTTTGAGTATAAAAAGGATCAGTCCCCTTTCATTACTGTTACTAAATTTAATGATAGTTTTGTGTAGAGCATTTTTAAATGTGTATTGTTCTAATTTTGAGTGAAATGTTACTTTTCTTCTTTTTTACCAGCTTTAAACCCAATGAAGGAGTTATCATAATAGGAGCCACAAACTTCCCAGAGGCATTAGATAAGTATGTATTAAAAGACTTTTTTTTTTGACAAGTACCAATACGTACTGAAACGTAGATGAACTTTTAAAGAGAAGGAAGCCCATCACCGAACATCACATATGATTCTGTTTATGTGAAATGTCCAGAATAAGCAAATCGGTGGCAACAGAGAGTAGATTAGTGGCTGCCAGAAGGAGGGAAGAATGGAGAGTGACTGTTGGTGGCTGTGGGGTTTCTTTTTGGAGTGGGGGAATAAAAATATTCTTAAGTTAGATTTTTGGTAAGTGCACAACTCCAACTATATTAAAAACCACTGGATTATCTATTTTGAAATCTGTGATGTGTGAATTAAATTTCAGTAAAGTTGTTAAAAGAATCTTCTGACAATCTTATATCACAAAAGTTTAGGGATGGTGGAGAACATTTTTAAAATAAAATGTATTACAGTTTTAAATTTTTGATTTTGCCATAGAAGATATTCATATTTTAATTTGATCTAATAGTTTTTTTTTTAATCTTTGCCTAAGTTTGTGGTTTAACATTCTATACTTAGAGCAGTTGTGATAGGAAGCTATCACAGTGTAGCTCTCATAATAGACTGCTGTAGAATTATTGTTCCTTGAGTGACTGACTAGCTTGCATGTTTTTGTTTATGAGGGTTGCCTGCTATCTATCTCCTATCAACCTTTGTCCTGCCTTCTGGTTATTGAAACTGTTATTGAGCCATGTTTTACAAGGAGTGCTCTGATTGTTTATATTCAGATTTCCAGTCTAGGCTGGAATAGGTGATGGGGATTAAGGAACGCACTTGTGATGAGCAGTGGGTGACGTGTGGAGTTGTCGAATCACTGTACTGTACACCTGAAACTAACAGAGCACTGTATGTTGGCTGTCCCGGAATTAAAATAAGAAACAAAACTCCATCCAACTTCTGGTTGCCATTATTTTTCCATCTTGTCTTCAGAGTGTCAGTCCTATTTAACTTGACCATCAGTACTCAGATTATTAATTTATATTTTCTTCCCATTTTCTCCCTTTAGTGCCTTAATACGTCCTGGTCGTTTTGACATGCAAGTTACAGTTCCAAGACCAGATGTAAAAGGTCGAACAGAAATTTTGAAATGGTATCTCAATAAAATAAAGTTTGATCAGTGTAAGTCTAATTCTAGTAACAAACTTTATTATTTTCTCTATGTAATGGTGATATTTCATTCCGCCCTGTTTGTGGTCCTTACTTGATAAATGTCTCAGAAGACCAGTTTTTTCTATGTCCTCTTTTCTCTCAATTTGTATTTCCTTTTAAAAAAGTTTATTTCTTGATAATTATATATGTAGGACATTCTGTCGTTTGAATCCCAATGCTAAGGATGTTTGTGGGGCTCCTGGGTGGCCTAGTTGGTTGAGTTGTTGCCTTTGGCTCAGGTTGTGAGGGTCCTGGGATCAAGCCCTGCCATCAGGCTTCCTGCTCAGCCAGGGAGTCTTTTTGTCCCTCTCCCTCTGCTCCTGTGCTCTTTCTTGCTCACTCTCTTAAAAAAAATTTAAAAATTTAAAAATTTAAAAATAAATCTAATTAATATTAAATAAATAATAAATTTTAAATGATTAGATATAAATAAATTATAAATAAAATTATTATAAATGAATAATTAGGTATTAAATAAATAAATTAAACATAATTAAAATAATAAATTTAGTGAATTTAATTAATTTAAAAATTTAAAATATAAAAAAATTCCTTTAAAAAAATGTTTTCTTGAGAATTTTCAGATAATACTTGCAGATCAATATAAGCGTTTTTAGATGAATGTAAAGTATGAAATAGTAGAAAAAGCACATAAAGTAATCATCACTTTGGGACCAAAAGAGGCAAACTGTAAAACAAACAAATGAAAATATTATGGACCCACTTGAGTAATAAATGCAGCTATTAAATTAAGCTCTAGTATTTTCAAGGATAGTTGAATCAATTTATAAAACCTGATATATTGGGGCGCCTGGGTGGCTCAGTTGGTTAAGCGACTGCCTTCAGCTCAGATCACGATCCTGGAGACCCAGGATTGAGTCTCAAATTGGGCTCCCGCTCCATGGGGAGTCGTCTTCTCCCTCTGACCTTCTTCCCTCTCATGCTTTCTCTCACTCTGTCTCTCAAATAAAAATAAATAAAATTTTAAAATAGAAAAACCCCTGATATTTCCTCTTATAAAGGGAGCTTTTATTAATGTACATATAATACTAAATACTTATGTATAAAGTATTTCAAGATGAAATTCAGAAAACAAAATGTTGTCTATGAGTATACATTCTCAGTTGTGCTTAGGCTAGTAACAGTTTAGGTCATAATTTGAAGGTTTTATAAATGATGTCTGGTAACTCTGCATTTTTTAATTTTTCACAAAATTATTTAAATTTAAGAACTTTTGGGATGTGTCCCAGTGGGATTTTAATGATCTCTTTAATGGCAGTTTTGGTTTTCCTTTAGAAAAAGTAAGTTTATTTTGTAGTTACAGTGATCTAAGTATTTTAAGTTCTAGTTCAGGATAACTGTTTTCTCTTTTCTTTCGGAATATCAGTCATTTGTGAAGAGTCGTTTCGGAATTTTAATATTGTGTTTATCTATGTAGCTGTGGACCCAGAAATTATAGCTCGAGGTACTGTTGGCTTTTCTGGAGCAGAGTTGGAGAATCTTGTGAACCAGGCTGCATTAAAGGCAGCTGTTGATGGAAAAGAAATGGTTACCATGAAGGAACTAGAGTTTTCCAAAGATAAAATTCTAATGGGTAGGTTTTCTCTCTCTTTTTTCTTTTCCCTGTCTTACACTGTTCATTATGTTCGAGAATAAATTCCTTTTGAGAAAAATGTTACAAGAAAGAAAGGTACAGGAGCAAGAAAATACTTACTCAAAAGTAGCCATACAACTGGGCCTCTTACAGAACAAATACAGTTTATATGATTATACTGTTTGGGGGCAGGGGGTACCCTGTGTTTACTCTTATTTGGTATTTGTACAGATAAAAGAAAAATTTTCCAGTTTTCAGTATTTGATTTTTAAATCTTGAATTGGCTTCAGAACAGTTTAGCTGTGACACTTCTTGTTTCAATTTATTTTCTGGAAATAGAACTAAACTTTCCTGGTTGTTAGTAAGGAGTAAGAGGACAGCTCTTACAATTTTGTTGTCAGTTGGCAAGTTATTTTGGTTTAAGATAACTTAATAACGATATTAAGTCATGTCACTCTAAGAATTACTTAAAGGTAAGTGGGTTTCATTCATCTAAATATGCCTTCCTAATGGAATAATTTTATTCACTAAATTTTTATCCTTAGGGCCTGAACGTAGAAGTGTGGAAATTGACAATAAAAACAAAACCATCACAGCATATCATGAATCCGGTCATGCTATTATTGCATATTACACTAAGGACGCAATGCCTATCAACAAAGCTACAATCATGCCAAGAGGGCCAACACTTGGACATGTAAGTATCTTGTTTTTTTTTTCTTTTCTTTCAAATAACACTCTCCAAAAGCTTGTGTAGGAAACTGTTGAGGAAAATAATTAAAAAGAAAATTCAACTAAGTTCTGAGTTTGCTGATAACTTTTTTCTTTGATGTTCTGAACCATTGTGAGATCAGAGATACTCGTGCAACTTACCTGCTAATAAATACTAATAGTTCAAATATTATATATTTACATGATGAAATTTAAGTCTGGAATGACAACAAAGTATCATTCTTAAATATGTCACTGCTTTTTACCCTCCTCAAAGAAACTAGGTTAGTGGTTTGCTAGTCTTTCTAAGATTTTTCTCGCTGAGTACAAGTTTCATTTTCTTATCTTCCTTTTTTTTTTTAAGATTTTATTTATTTATTTGAGAGACGGAGATCACTAGTAGGCAGAGAAGCAGGCAGAGAGAGAGGCGGAAGCAGGCTCCCTGCTGAGCGGAGAGCCCAATGCGGGGTTTGATCCCAGGACCCTGGGATCATGACCTGAGCTGAAGGCAGAGGCTTTAACCCGCTGAGCCACCTAGGCACCCCTTCTTATCTTTCTAACGATAGACATTTTAAGCCTTTCTTTTTTGGCACCTGGGTACAAGTCCATCCTATTGCAGCATTATCCTATTGCAGGGTTATATAGCTATGACATATAAAATGAACTTTTGCTTTATAAAGAATCTTTCTTTGCATAATGCCAGTTTTGTTGTTAGTCGCCTGAGATCATCTCTACTAAATGTCTTTGAGCTGTCAGCATCATGACATTAAGTGCTATAGCAAGAGCCAGATGATAATTCTGATGATTAATAGAAGCATTTCCAACTGTGTCTGGAGTTTTTCTTTGTTTCTAATTGTCTAGGTGTCCCTCTTGCCTGAGAATGACAGGTGGAACGAAACTAGAGCTCAGCTGCTTGCGCAGATGGATGTTAGCATGGGAGGAAGAGTGGCTGAGGAGCTTATATTTGGAACTGACCATATCACAACAGGTTGGCTGTAAAGAATGGCTTTAGTTCAGATTGTGCTTGCTGATATAAAAATATTTTAAAATACTGAGTCTATATTTTTAACTTTTAGGTGCTTCCAGTGATTTTGATAATGCAACCAAAATTGCAAAGCGGATGGTTACCAAATTTGGAATGAGTGAGAAGGTAATAGCTAATTTTACCCCTCCCTCATGTATCAAATGGTGATTTGCCAAGTGTCTCCTTATGAGACAGGGTTCTTTTTTTATTCTTAAGACTTTATTTTTTTTATTGGAGAGAGTAAGCATGAGAGGGGAGATGGTCAGAGGGAGAAGCAGACTCCCAGCTGAGCAGGGAGCCCAGTGCAGGACTTGATCCTAGGACTCCGGGACCGTGACCGGAGCTGAAGTCAGTCTCTTAACCCACTGAGCTACCCCAGGCACCATAGGAGAGAGGGTTCTCGCTATAAGTTGGTAACATTTACTTTTCTCCTGTTTCATTCAGAGTAGATTTGTCAAGGCTCATTCTAAACTAAACCTTTTTTTTTTTTTTTTTTTTTTTTTTTTTGAGTGCTAAAGTATAGTGTTCACTTTCCATTCTGGCTGCTTGAACAATAATAGTATTTCATGAGTTAAGCAAATGATAAGATACTCTGTTTCTGTTCTTATGACCTAAAACTTCTGTTTGCCGAGCTTGCTTACTTTGCTCTTCCCACGTATTTCACTCTCCTACTCTCCTACATTATCACTGTGGCTTCACACAGCACTTCCAATGCACTACATTGTGGATTTCTGGATTTGGAATAGTGGCAAAGGTTTTCTAAGAACGTACTCAGAACCATACTTGGGATTTTAAAGTTTCTCTCTTGTTCATACTTTTTAGTCTTACACTTTCAGAAGGATGATGAAATTTCTATACTGAATTTCTTCCTTGCCCTTGATGAGGTTTCCTTAAGTATGGAATAGTACTTCCTCTGTTTACATTTATTAGTGGTTTGGGGTGTTTCTGTTCAATTTCTTTCTTTTTGTTTGTTTTAGCTTGGAGTTATGACCTACAGTGATACTGGGAAACTGAGTCCAGAAACTCAATCTGCTATTGAACAAGAAATTAGAATCCTTCTAAGGGTAATAATTCTGTTTTTCTGTGCTTATTCATCTGTCTAGTCATTAATGTGCCTAAATAGTTAGGCGCTACCAGAAGATAATGGTTATCCCCTGTTTAAAACTGTTGCTATATATAATCAAGAGAATGAGTGCACCATGAAGCCATAATTCCAGTATGTAGTTGGGAGCCTCTGGTCATAGACTGAAACTTTATTTTATTCTGGCCATAGGCTAGGAACAGTTAATATCAGTAATTACAAATATTCTACTTCATCTGTAAAACCATAGTGTCGTTAGAATGCGGGGTTATTTGATTATTTGAGTCTTTATTATTTTTCACTCTGACATACATTTTATTCCACAAATATTAGTTGTTTTGTGCCTTGCTGTGTATATATGCTGAGAATGAAGCATAAAGGTCTTTGAAAACGAAAGTCTTTTTGATTTCAGGGTCCAGTACAGAATACGTGAGCGTCGATTCGGTGAGATGAGTGAGTAGGTTCTGTGGAATCTCCTTGAGGCACAGCAGTTGCTTGGATTAGGGCAGTGAGAGGGGAATTTGAGAAAAATGAATGCATTCAAGAGATGCTGATCTAGTGGAATCGAATGCCTTTCTGGTATTTGGGTGAGAGAGCAGCTAAATGAAGTAACAAAGCTGTGTTCTCGATTTCTGCCTGGTGCAGCCATCTAGTTGTGTGTGCCGTTGACTGAGAAAACACTGATGATGGCCTAAGGTGGGGAGGTGTGTAGATTGTAAGCTGCGTTTTATACATATTGAATTTGAAGTGTTTTCTTTTTTTAAGGTTTCATTTGTTTTTTGAGAGAACGTGAGCATAAAGTGGGATGGGTGAGGGGCAGAGGGAGAAGCAGATATCCCTGTTGAGCAGGAAGCCTGATGTGGGGCTTGATCCCTGGACTCTGGGATCATGACCTGAGCTGAAGGAAGGCACTTAACCAACTGAGCTGCCCAGGCGCCCCTGAATTTGAGGTGTCTTAGTGAAGATTTCACGTGGGGAGGGATACGTGGGTCTGGTGCTTAGTGCAGAGGTTGTTTATGTGCATTCCGGTTGGTTGTACATGAAGGCAGGTCTTGGAATGGAAAAGACTGAGCTAAATGGCAGAACGTCTAGTGAACGAGAACTGGAATTAGGGCTGTAGATGGCAGAATGAAGGATATTGAAGTCAGATGGTGTAAACTTCAAAGGAATCATGCTTTATAGAAGAGGGTCATAAAGTAATAGTCTGTCAGCGGTGAGGGGAGCAAAGGTCTCACCTCTTTACTCTGAAATATCTGGGATAGGAGTGAATCAGTAGCTGTCAGTTGAGGGATTCAGAGTGTCCCCAGGAGGGCCAGGTTTTGATTAACTCAAGGAGGTAAAAGATTTTAAAGTCATTAACTTTATGAAAAGTTCATATGATGAAAAGGTTTAGAAGGTGTTTCAGAAGAGAATGCCTGAATCTTCATTCTCTTTTTTACTATTTATGTTATTTTGAGCAAATTATCTCTTCTAGTATTAGAGCATTGGAAATACTCTTTCTTTGCTCTTCATACTTTTCTGAAATGTTAAGCTTGCGAGGGCGGTAGGTACTCTTTCCACTAGATGGCACACTTACATTGTTATTATGGAAAAATATTATTTAGCTAGTATACATTTTAGGTTCAAATGTATATGAAGTTTAAAGATATAAAAACCTTATCATAGTCTTACTTGTTACAGTGTAAGGGTTTCATTCCAATGGAGTTTTTAAAGTTAATACTAATTTATCCTTGGGTATTAGTTTCAATATTCCATAACATATTTATAATACTTTATATGTTCTCTTTAATTTGATATTTCACTTGACCATAACAGTTTTGTTCAGAATGTCTAACGATGTTTATTTTTAATAGTTGTGTTATTTTTATATGAGGTATGCTTCTTGGTGTTGGTAAACTCATTTTACAGGAGTATAGTTGTCACTGACTGACAGGTAGGTTGTTACCAGATAAGAGAATAGAAAAGTACATCTTTTCTGGCCATTTACAGTGAATAAACTGGTGAAATATCACAAGGCAAAAGGAGCAAACCTGCCTTTCCTTTTTAACATGTATATTGAATAGAGAAATAGATTCTTTGTTCGCAGACCTTATTTAAAAAGCAGATAAGTATAATATATACTTACATATCTTTAAGTATAGCTGCTCAAGTAGTCCTCACTTATCCATGTGATAGGTTTTGGGTTAAAAATAGAACGTTTGCAAGTATGAAACTACTCTTTGAGAACCAAGCTTGCCTTATCTATCAATCAATCAATCAAGTAGGCTCCATGCTGGGTGTTTAAAAGCTCCATGCCTTAAGAGACTCTTAATCTCACAAAACAAACTGAGGGTTGCTGGGGGGAGGTGGGGAGAGGGATGGGGTGGCTGGGTTCTGGACATCGGGGAGGGTATATGCTATGGTGACTGCTGTGAAATGTGTAAGCCTGATGATTCACAGACCTGTACCACTGGGGCAATAAAACTTTCTATGTAATTTTTTTTTTAAAAGCTTCACGCTTTTTTATCTTTTATAAATAGAAATGAATATAGTTCACATTTTTTAAGGCATATACTTTTTTTTTTCTTATTTATGGTTTTTGCTTCTACGTTTTCTGCCTCTTAGATACCTGCTTTTTTTAATTCCAGGACTCATATGAACGAGCGAAACATATCTTGAAGACTCATGCAAAAGAGCATAAGAATCTAGCAGAAGCTTTACTAACCTATGAGACTTTGGATGCCAAAGAGATTCAAATTGTTCTTGAGGGAAAGAAATTGGAAGTGAGATGATAACTCTTAAAATGGATGCACTGCTGGTTTTGCTGCAGGAATATATAAGTAGCATTTCGGTAGTCTGCTTCTGCGATGCTTTTCTCCCATTCTTGCCTTGGTATCACGCAAGAGTGTGAAACACTTTGTCTCTCTTTTGTCACATTTAATCTAATTCTGGTTATTCTCATGATGACACCTATGGCAAATTATCAACCCATAGCAAATATGTTAAAGAAAATAAAGAACTATTAGGATTGGAAACAGCTTGTTTGAGAAATGTTAATCAGTTATTCAGTTGAAAATAAGTAATGATTTTATGGTTGGTTCCTCTACTAGATGTGAATAAAAATTGTGCCTTTAGCTCTTGGGAAGTACTTTTACTTGGCAACATAAAATTATCGAAGGATTATCTTTGTTTTTCGATAGTACCATTTATCGTTGATGAAGAAATGCTGCCATTTGGCTCAAGTGAAGCATATTTCTATATAGGTCAGTGGAAACTTCATTAAAATGCACTTAATTATTGTGCTCCCGATTGTCCATATATAAAATAGTTCTGTGTTTCTCTGTCTAAGAGAGAATTGTAAATGTACAGATTTAATCAAAATTTAAATGATTACAACCTCTTAGAAATGCAGCTTGCATTTTCATGGTCTTTTTTTTTTTTTTTCTTAAACATCATCATTCTTACTAATGAAATTTATTTCAGAGCAGCAAATATTTTGTTAAATAAAAAGTGAGTCACTTCAAAATCTGAATAACTATATAATTATTCTTGGTATTAAAAGAAAGATTAACCCCAAATCTCAGTCCTTTCAAAGTGAACTTTGAATTACCCTCCTGGTTATGCAAAGTCATGTTTGCTTTCATTCAGATTTTGTGAACACGAACATGTTACAGGATTTACAGATGACTTTATTTAACTGAATAGAGAATTATTTTAGAGCTCATTGTATTGGCTTTCCAACCAGATTATATTCTTGAAGTGATTTTATTAAAATTACCTACAGTTTTCTAATAACTTTTAAGTTGTATATGGTCTTCATTGAAGAAGTTGATATAGGGAGTTTGCTATACAGTATCTTGCCTCTTTTTTTTTTTTGTAATTTTAAATTTTGATCTAATTTCAAACTTAACAGAAATGTTACTTGAATAATATAAGGAACCCCCGTGTACCCTTGATCCAGATTTATTGTCCCATTTTAATTGCCCACTTCCCTTTTCCTTTTCTTCTTTCATCCTTCCCTGTCCCTCTCTCCTTCCTTCCTTCTCCCTGTGTATATACATGTCTTTGTGTGGATGCATGTTTTTATTTTTCCTAGATAGACTTCTGGGGTTGAAATTGCTGGGTCGTGTAGTAAGTTTCTGTTTACCTTTTTATGGACCTGATGAAATGCATCATTCTCTGTATCTTCTACAGAATATTCTTAGAGTCTTTTTGATAAAGTCATTCTGGTGTGAATGAAACAATATCTCATCGATTTACATACGTTTATCTACAGTAGTGATATCCTCTCTGGTTTTATTGGCCATGTGTATATTTTCTTTAGAGAAATGTCCATTCAGAGCACCCTCACCGTCACTTTTGGGTTCTTATTAAATGTGGTGTAAGATATCATATATTCTGAATACAAGTCCTTTTTTTTTTTTTTTAAAGATTTTATTTATTTATTTGACAGAGAGATCACAAGCAGGCAGAGAGGCAGGCAGAGAGAGAGAGGAGGAAGCAGGGTCCCTGCTGAGCAGGGAGCCTGATATGGGGCTCCATCCCAAGACCCTGGGATCATGACCTGAACGGAAGGCAGAGGCTTTAACCTACTGAGCCACCCAGTTGCCCCTACTTTGGTTAATTCTTAAAATCATTAGGCAGTGTAATAGGAATGTAATAGGAATAGCAAATGTAATAGGAATCTGGCAAGTTTGGGGGTAGCTGGTTTTTTATTAGCTGTTATAGGTCTGCTCCTATTCCTGTCTGTCTGCTTCACCCACAATATCAGGTATAGTCCAGTTGTAATTACTGGGTCAAGTGCCACATTAAAAGGATTTCCTGTAGACTCTCAATATACAGCCCATATGTATATATGAGCCACACAGCCCATCTTCTTTGCATTTTACATGATTTTTTTTCAACTTAATCATACCATTCTTTAATATTGATCTTCGTGGTGATCTTTACTGTCCAATTTGTGCCTTCCCTAAGTAGCTGCCAGAAACTGCCAGCTTCTGTTAACAAAAGTGTAGCTTAAAAAGTTCTTCACTCTGTTTCCAAATAAATACACAGATATCAAAACAATAACCATTTACAAATTATAATGGAAAAATATACTATCACATTAGAAAAATGAAAGAGCCCAGATATAAATATATCAAGAAGTATGCAAAAACATATGCAGGATTTATATAAGGAAAAAGACTACCCAGAAGTTCATAAAACTTAAATTGAAAGACATAACATGTATCTAGATACATTGAAATGGAAAGACATAAGACTTAAAAAATTGAGAGACAACATGTTTCTGGATACACTGATTCAAGATTGATTCTGTTAAGGTTAATTCTCTTAACCAAATTGCAGACAAATTCTCACTGTGAATTGTTTTTAATTTTGTATAGTGATGAAAAATTCATCTCAAATAATGTAGAGGTAAATATTGCCAAGACAATACTGAAAGAGAAGATTAAGAAAGGGGACTATGGACCTGTAATGGATTTTTTTAAAAAAGATTTATTATTTATTTGACAGAGATCACAAGTAGACGGAGGTGGGGGGAAGCAGGCTCCCTGCTAAGCAGAGAGCCTGATGTGGGGTTCAATCCCAGGACCCTGGGGTGTACCTGTAATGGATATTAAAACATATTTTATAAAGAGGTTAAAAATAGTACAGTACGGATACAAGAAGAATACTAGTCAGTTGAACAGAATGTAAAACCCAAAAACGGGAAAAAATATCTGAGAATTTAATTAAGGATGAAATGGTATTTTAAACTAGGTGAGAAAAAATGGATTAGTTATGAAAAGCAAATAACCTTCCCCCCCCCTTAGTTCTTAAATGTTGGGGCACCTGTGTGACTCAGTCTGTTAAACTCTGTTTCTTCATTTCAGCTCAGGTTATGAAGTCAGGGTCCTGAAATCATACCCGCCCCTCTGCGCTTGGGGTGGAGCCTGTGTAAGAGCCTCCTCTCTCTCTCTCTCTCTCTCTCTCTCTCTCTCTCTCTCTCCCCCTCCCATTGCCCCTTCTCCCCATTATCTCCCCCACCCACTCTCTCTCTAAAAAACAAAACAAAAGAAACCTTAAATGTTGCACCATGCTCCAAAATAAAGCTTAAAGATTTAATTGGGAAATAACAGCAAAAAATAAAAGAAAATGTAAGTGTAAGGCTGGGCCTAATGGGAGCATTAAGAGGCAGGCAGAAATGCGTTTTCGTCTGGAGAACGTGCGTGGTTTTCCCCTCATAAGTTTGCACTTGATGATACACACTGCCAAGTCTCTGACCATGAAAACAGGTTTTTAAAAAACTTTTATTTTTTTGACAGGGAGAGGGAGAGACAGAGAAAAAGGAAAAAAAAAAAGAAAGAAAGAAAGAAATAGAGAAGCCAGCTCCCCGCTGAGCCAGGAGCCCAGATCATGCCCCAGGGAAGACAGGCGCCCAAGGAACTGAGCCACCCAGGCATCCAGGCTCCTCTGAAAACGACTGTTTATTGCTGCATCTGCTCAATTCCATGGAGACCGGCTGGGCCCCGGAGGGATATAGAAGAGGAATAAACTAAGGAAGAGCCTTTTTTAGGGACATTTTCTGGGGGAGGAGGCATTCAGCATCCTGAAGTTTCGTGCACTCTAGCCCCAGTAGTATATAAGGACTGCTTTTCCACACCTCTGACCTCTGCAGATACTCAGAAAGGGTCAGCCAACTCCCACTAACGTTTGAAGGGAACCCTCCCCGCGTCACAAGCGATCACTGAGATTTGAGAGGCTTGGGCCTCGCACATGCGCTTTGGGCACCTTTAATCCCGGCCCTTTATGCTCAGGCGCAGGCGCAGCGACGCGGGTTTCAGAGGTGCGCAAGCGCAGTTGTGCTTGCAGTCACCGCCTGGTTACGGTTATTCTGTGCTCCGAGATTCCAAACCGCGTAGCTTTGCTACTGTGATGTAGTGGCGAGGTCGGTTTGGCTTATCTCTCTAGCGCTAGTTAGTGTTGGTGTGTAGAGGCAGCGAAAAGCCGAACGGAAGGTGAAGTGTTGGTGAAGCCTCTAGGCTTTGCGATGAAGAAGTTTTTTGGTTTCGGGACTGGGAAGGGGCGTTCATCCCCGACCTTTCGCACGGAGCTGATGAATGGCTTGCAGGCCCCGGTTGACAAGAATGAAGGAGTCAACAAGTCGCAGCGGGGGTATAACGTCCGCGTGAAAGATCTCAAAAAGATCCACAGAGCTGCCGTCATGGGCGATGTAGCGAAAATGCAGCGGTTGCTACTGCTTGGGAAAGACCTGAATAAAAGAGACAAGATGAAACGGTAATGGGGACTTGGAAGCCGGCGCGCCAGATGGCGGGGAGGACTGGGGGGACCGGGAGAAATGCGCACCTTCCCGGGCTCCGCCTGTGGAGCCGAGCCCTCCTGTCACCGAGGGCGCTTGGCGGTCTTCCCTCCTGAGGCCGGGCAGCAAGGGGTCTAGCGCCCAGGCCGGCTGTCTGAGCAACAAAACAAAATCCTCAGCGGCCTTTGGACCCACTCATAAGTCCCCATATAGGTCACTTAACAGCTTTGATGTGACTGAACCACATTTCAATAGTGATAGAAAAGAAATGAAGTACATACAGTATTTTACTTTATTTTGTAAGATTTTATTTATTTGACAGAGACACAGAGAGAGGGAACACAGCAGAGGGAGTGGGAGAGGGGGAAGCAGCCCCCCCCCCTCCAGCAGAGAGCCCGTTGTGGGGCTCGATCTTAGGACCCTGAGATCACGACCAAGGCAGATGCTGAATGACTGAGCCACCCAGGCGCCCCCAGTATTTTATTTTTAATGGACATCTTTTTATACGATAATGTCATAAAAAAAGGTCTATTCCCATAATAGATCAACTTCTGGGCTACAAATTCTTTCGATAAAATCCAATATATAATTTATATCTGTGTCCACTTTGTATGTATGTTATTTACTGACTGGCTGTCGAAGGACATTTTGAATTGGGAAGATGGTTCTGTTCGTGATTAGGAAGATGTATTTCTCAAAATGTGTACTCTTCCTGTATTTATCGACATTCCATAAAGCAAATAAAATCATCATGGTTTTAAGAATTTGGGGTTCCACTTGCTCTCTTTTATCATTGTGATGACATTAAGCAAATTTTTGGAATCACTATAGTGTACACCCGAGAGTAATAGAACACTGCATGTTAACTGGAATTAAAACTTAAATTTTTATAAGTAGACAGATTTGCCCTTCCAGATATCAAAATGTATCTTAAATTTCCACAAATTACACGGTTACTAATAGCTGAAAGGACAGATGAATGAACAGGGCAGAGTAGAAAATGCCAAACACCCAAATATGGTGACAATTCATATTAGTAGAAAAAGGTGAATCATTCATAAGTGGTGGAGAAATATCTGCTATTTATTTGTTTATAATAGTATTAAATACTAATATTGATAATTGGTAATTCTTGATTTTCATATCTGTAAATCTAAATATCTAATAAAATGAGAAAAATATTTTTATCATTTAATATAATGTATATATAAAATATATAATATATAAATATATAATAAAAATATATAATATACTATATAAATCTATATGTATAAGATATGTAAAATAAATATTACTTAATATATAAAATATATATAAAATACATAATGTATAAAAATAAAACTGTTCCCGTTTATTTGAGCTTCCTTTGGCTTAAGGTTTCTTGAAAATCAGAGTGAAAAATTACTTAAAAAGAATTCTTCGTTATTTTAGTCCTCTTTCCCCATAATGCTTTCAAGAACTAAAATTTATTTAAATGCCAACCACGTGACTAGAACTGCAGTAGAGCTGTTGTATGTATACACCATTATTTCATTTAAAGTAAGGCACCATAGATTGTGTGATGCCCCACCATTTTATATACGAATAAGAAATCTTAAAAAATTCTCCCAATTATGGTTGTAAGACATTTTGGATTATAAATCGCATTCTAATGTCAGAGATACTAAAAGGTAACAAAATGACCCTCCTAGAATCATTGAAATATAGTATTCTTGTGAATCCTTAAAATATATCTAAGAAGTAGGCATAATTGGATCACTTTACCTAATGGGAGTGTTGTCTTTGTACAATAGTAGCTATAGTAATAGTTATAATAATAATATGTAACAAACTTTGCATAGATCCTCATTTAAGCATGGTGACGAGGTCTTGTGAGACAACTATTCTTTACTTTATTTTTATTAGTTTTTAGTAATCTCTATAGCCAACATGGGGCTTGAATTCATGACCCTTGAGATCAAGAGTCACATGACCTACAAACTGAGCAGGGCAGGGGACACGAGATAACTATTTTTATTTCCATTTTTTTGATGAGGAAATTGAGGATAAGGCTGAGCAATAACTATTAAGTGACAGAGTTAGGTAGGATTTAAACCCAGGTTGAGCTGAATCCAGAGGTCACGCTCTACCTAGTCAGATAGCCTGCTCTTTTACTAGTATGGTGAATAATCACTAATACATATTGTACTTTCTTCAAAAGAAAATGAAATCTGTGTTTTTGAGTCAAAGGAATAAGATGCTATGTAACGTTTACAATTACATGAATTAATTGCATGTTTTGAAATAGTGCACTATAACTTCCTAAAACATTCTTTCACTTTCATAGGACCCCTCTCCATCTGGCCTGTACCATCGGCCATGCCGACATGGTGACTCTTCTTGTAGAGAGGAAATGCCAGCTTAACCCCTGTGATAGAGAATGTAGGACTCCTCTAATGAAGGTGTGTGGTAGCAGCTGTGTCTGCCTGAGATGGATTTGATTTAATTACTTAGAATGAAAATCTATTGCATTTAAATGTAACTAATTGGTGAAAACTGTGGCATGCTTGCTTTAAATTCCCAGAATTTACACTCTGTTTCTTGGGATACTACTGACAGGCTGTACAATGCCAGGAAGAGGCATGTGTAACTATTCTTTTAGAACACGGTGCTAATCCACACCTTACGGATAACTTTGGCAATACTGCCCTCCACTATGCTGTTGCTGGTGACAACACGTCAATAGTAGAGAAGCTGATTTTATACCATGCAAATATTGAAGCAAGAAACAAGGTACGTCAACTTTATTTATAAAGTATTTGAAATTTTAAAACCTCTATATAAATTTTTTTAGCCACAAAACATTTATTTACATATTTATTTATATATGTAATAAAGAATAAATACTGAATTCTATACATCAAGTACTGTCACCAGGGAAACAACTCCAAAGCCAGGACAGGCAGGACTAGAGAACGATGATGCCCACAGAAAGGGCAGAGTTCTGTTTCCCAGCCACCCTTCCACCCCAGAAGGAGAATCTTCCCATTAGTGCTTGGGAGTGGATGGTGGGCTCAGAGCCCACAAAGGATTGAAGGCCTGGAGGGGAGTGAGGTGATGATGGAGGCTGGGTGCTGTGCAGGGGCTTAGGAAATGGGTGCTGCTGGGAATGGGTGGGAGACCATGACCCAGTGGGGTAACTTGGGTGAGTGCAAGTGGGAGGAGAAAGCAGCAGGTTGCAGTCCCTGGGCACTCCAGGCCCCAAGGTTCTGAAGATGAGAGCAAGGCGATCAGGTCATGACATCCTACAGGGGCATCTACTTGTGCTCATAGCCACTCTGCCTGCTATGTACCGCATTGGGGTCTCCCATTTCACAGAGTAGTTCCTGCTCAGCATTGTGTAGATCCTCAGGGGGGTAGTAGCTGTGCATGGGGAGTAGTGGAGGACCGTGCTCACTATTCCACTTGTTATTTCTTTGACATGCCTTACCTCCTACCACTGCCCTTAAGGAAGCACTGTTGGTTGACATAGATAGGGTCAATTTTTCATAAGTAGAAGCTCGAGCATTCCCTGAATGAAAATATTTTGAAATAACTTAATTGTCTAAGATTTCACTTTATTTTTATTTTTTAATTATTTTTCTTGAGCACACTGTTCGGAAATACATTTTTGTAGGGACTGTAAAGAAAGAAAGCAGGAAGAAAGCACATATACAGACTTATAAGAAGAGAAGCATGTTCTTCACATAGCAAGAATTTTTATGCCTTGACTTCTAACCCAAGTAGTAATTCTGAGTAATTTTACATGGAATATGCCTTATTCTGCTCTAAGACCATGATCTAGTTATAGGGATAGAGAAGTGATCTATGTTTCTATGATTCAGTTGATATTAATACTAGTCTTTGATACATTTTCATTCTTAAATGCAGCAATTATCTACAATTGATTATAGTTATCAAGTTTTCGTTGACCCAAGTGTTGGTTTTCTTCAACTTTTGAAAGAGGCCGGCTTTGGCTAACAGTGCTGTAAACTGTCAAGTCAGTTATTCGAAGTTTTAAGATTTCACTTTAATGAACTTTTTTTAAAGAAAGATTTTATGTATTTGAGAGAGAGCGTGAGAGAGAACACACATGAGTAGGGAGGAAGGGCAGAGGGAGAGGGAAAAGTAGGGGAGCCTGATGCAGGGCTGGTTCCCAGGGCCCCGGGGAATCTGACCTGAGCCAAAGGCAGACGCTTAACTGACTTATCCATCCAGATGCCCCAGAGCTGCTCTTTTAATTTAGAGTCCATCTCCTTAGTGACCCATTTGGAGCAAGAGTGCTTTATGT